GAGAGAAGCAAAGGTGGATGGAGAAATGTAGAGTTTGTCTCAAGCACCAATCTGGGTTTGAGACACAAACCCAGATCAGTGCTTGAGACAAACCTAGATCCTCGTCAACCGTTGTTCGAGCCTACAATGAGCTAGATCCCGATGCATGTTACTACCGGAGCCGGAGTTGACAGAGCTAGATCCCGACACGATCGAGCCTACAGTGAGCCTGTGACGGCACATACCAGCCGTTGCTGCTGCAGAGCCGTGCGGGGGCCATGACGCCAGGCTTCAAGCTCTTCTTCACAACAGTATCCGTTGATTCAGAGGAGAAATGGCGAGTGAGGAGAGAAGCAGAGGTGGATGGAGAAATGTAGAGTTTGTCTCAAGCCCCGATCTGGGTTTGAGACAAACCCAGATCTGTGTTTGTTTTGGAGAGGAAGAAAAATCGATAAGAGAGAGAAAAAGAATAAGAAAGAAGATGAATTTTTTTTTTCTTTAGGTTTGAAAAATTATGAAATAATAATAAAAAATGTTAAATTTTTTTACTTGGAATTTACATGTTATTAAAATTTAAAAAATTTAGTGATTTTATGGTAAGATAACGTGTCACTTGTCATTTAATTGACAGAATGACTATTTTGGTATCAAAAAATGAAAATTTAAAGATAATTTTAGTAATTTTTAAAGTTGAGAGATAATTTTAGTGCCAAAGTAAAAAGTTGAAGGACCAAAATAGTACTTAAACTTATAAAATATTATAAAAATTAGTATTTATCTATTGAGGTAAAAATAATTTTAATTAATTAAATAATTAATTTAAATTTAATATATATTTTTTTATATAAATTAATTATAAAAAAATACATTAATTATAATTTATATCTAACTTAAAAAATTTATTTTTAATTTTTTTTAGAGCGGGAGCAAAACAACGTTCAGTAATTGGGCTGTTGCCACGTGGCTGCAGTCTGGTCATGCCTTAGTTAGAGCTGCCGCAATTTATTTTAAGTGGGCTGGTGCAACCCCTGCGGTGGCCCAATAATCCATTTTAATTCTTAAACACCTACAGCCCAATTCCCGACATTTTCTTTACAAAAGCCCGTTTAATAGCCCGTTCTAATTAGCCTCAAAAATAAATAATTACTTCTCCAAAAATAAATTTTCAGTAAAAAATTGTTATACTATTTAAAATTTCTTAAATGAGGAAGGGATTTTAATGTTGTGAGTTTTTTTATTTAAAAATTTTTATTTTATAATTTAAGTACAGTTCAAGTTGTAAAATAAAAAATTATTTTTGTTTTTGATTTTAGAGTCTTAAATATTATTTTTATTCAAAAGATAGAAATTTGACTTTTAAATATCCTCCATCTTGAGTCCTTGATTTGGCTAACAAAATTATAGAATATATTATAAAAAGGATTAAAAAAATAAATAAACATATATATATATATATATATATATATATGTATTCCTTCTTGTACACGGAAAGCCGGGAAGGTGAATGGTTGAATAATACTGAAAACGAAATCCAACCTACATTATTCTATGACTGAAGACAATAAGCTAAACTTAATTGTGGTCTATTGACTATTAATTTGTTATTATTTTTATTTAAAGAGTTTATTCCCTCAAAAATTATCTATAAACTTTAAATAGCATATCACATTAATGCTTACATAATATAATACCACGTAAATGCCACGTAATTCAAAAAAATTATATTTCAACAACTACAATTAATAATCTGAAAATTGAATGACTTATATCAATTGATGAAGTACAGAGGATAATTAAGAAAGTAAAGGATTTGGGGGTTGATTATGGATTAAGATTTAATTTTTTGAGTCAAGTAGTAGCTATATATGCTATATACTTATATAGTACTAACATGAAATTTGGTTCTAAAAACTAATAGTATTTTGATAAATATATATTTTTGGTATATTGAAAAGTTATTATTTGATGTTGTATAAATTTAAACTCTTAATTTTTAATTTTAAATTAAGATTTTTAAATTAATATTAACTCTATCAAATTCTTGTCAATATAAATATACTATTTGATTATACTTTTAAAGTTTGTAACCCGTTTTGAGGGAAAACAAACTCTAAGAAAAATGATAACATATATCAACCTGTTAATTAATAAACCAAGAGAATTTCATATCAGCATATCCAAGTTTCCTTTTTTTTTAAATAATTAGTTTCATTTTCTTACTTTTATTTTGAACGTGACTTTACGAATTCAAATTGTCTGACTTTGCAAGGGCATGTGAAAATGGGCTGTGTGTTGTGTCTGGTTCTGGTGGTCAGGTTGACCCTTCTTTTTTATATGTTTCTTGGCTTTGTTTTGCTACAACTGATAGAACGCCTGAAAAGAACACTTAAGGAGCAAAGGTGGCAGAGAAGAAGCTGCAAAAACCAGGCCTTTCTGGAAATCAGGTATTCAAAAGTCTCTTAAGTTTTAGTTTTCTCTTCTGCTTCACAATTTGATTCAACTTCATGATCCTGCTCTCTCTCTCTTTTACCTTAGATTCTTCTCTCAAAAGTTCATCTTTTATATTCTGTCTGCTTGCCCTACTTGAAGCCTTGATTCTTTTATCTCTGGCTGAATGATTTCCAACATCAAAATCTTGTCTTTATGCTTGGTTTTTATTTGTTCTGAAGAATCTCCAACTGGGTATTCTTTGGATTGCCCCAAAAGATCTGCTTTTTAGTGTGCCAATTGCGAAGCCCCTGATTTTTGTATAGGGTAGGATTTGTGTTGTTTATTTTTCCCGCGATTAAAGCATCAAGTTTTTTTGCTGCATATTTTCTTTGTCATGACGTTTAGTGCTGGAGGTAATTGAATGATTATGTTCGAGATGTTGGTGCTTCTTTGCATATATTCTCCAATTGTTATATCAATTATAGATGTAGAATCCTACTTTTGATTTGGAATGTTGTGGTTTGAATTGATTAGCATAATACTTAATTAACTTAATTGTAAGTTGAGAGTATTGGCTTTTCAAAGTAGTGGTGCTTATTGATGCAAGAACTGAGAACTGGATATTGCAGATACCTTCCTTCTTGTGATACCTGAATGCGATAGCTTTGGCTTTGAGTGATGAAAGACAACATGGATGATGGGGAGGTGGAGCTCTCAGATCATGTTATGTTATCAAATCCAGATTCATCTAGCAATTTCCAGGATATAACATCCGTAGATTTGTTTCTTGATGAATTTTTTAAGAATGCCAGAACATGTACTCACACACACACTTGCAACCCACCTGGCCCTGATGCGGTTCATACACATACATGCTACCACACACACACCCAAGTAATTGCTTCTGAAGATGATGATCACCCGAATGTCAAAAACCACTCTAGTTTGAAACCAAGAAGGCCTTCAGGAAACAGAGAAGCTGTTCGAAAGTATAGGGAAAAAAAGAAGGCACATACTGCTTACTTAGAGGAGGAAGTGAAGAAGTTGCGCATGCTGAATCAGCAACTAGTCAAGAGATTACAAGGGCAGGCAGCACTTGAATCAGAGGTTTTACGGCTAAGAACCCTTCTGGTAGACCTTAGAGCAAAGATTGATGGTGAGTTGTGTGTTTTCCCCTTTCAAAAGCAGTGTAACACCACTACTATTTTCAAAGAGGGCGATTGTGCATCACAGCCTACTGGTGCGCCAATAGGTCTACACTGTCAGACTGATTTGCCATGCTTCCATCCGCAAGCAGGATTGTCACCCCAGTCCAATGTTGGTGGAAGTAGGGAAATAATGGTATCCTGGGAAGGAAACTGTCAGGCTACAACCATAAATTGTCATACTAACAGAAATGAGATGGCAAGTGCTGAAGGCCACACCGTGCATGCAGTGGAAACGCCGGTGTTGCCTGCATCACTAGCTGAATAACTATAAAGAGAGAGCCAACTCGTAAGTCTCCGAACCCTTTGATCTTCCTGCAATAGAAAAATGTCCAGTTTAAGTAACTTTGCGAGCATAAAAAGTAGATGTCATGATCTAAGACTCTAGGCTATAGGTATAGTTATAAGAAGTACTTAACAGGTTGATTGCCAATGTAAATTTCCTGCAATATACAACTTTAAACAAATAGAACCATGTTATCAACAATGTAACAAGTTATTTTGATATCTCTAAGCAGCATGTAAATTTATAGAACTTTTATTTTGTGACTTGACTATACTTGTAGCAATATGTATGAAAATTCAACTTCTGTTCCTTTGGAATCTCATGAAATGGCATGGTACGCTGAGTGTCATGTGGTATGCTGGTTGAATAGCTCGTTACTAGATCGTAATACTATCATTAATTGTTCTTGCAAGCTGCTGATTACTAGCCATTGCAATGACATTATATTGGTTGCAAACAAGGTGGACTTTTATGTCTTATATGACTATCATATTTGTCACAACTAGCTAGTTCCAAAATTCAAGATCATTGTTTCACCACTTTTCTGACTACTAAAAGGAGTGTTGGTCATTCCTCCTTTTGTCAAGGGGTAGTTGAAGTAGGTAGCTACACGTTTGACAAGTAATTAAGTTAATAGTACTTGACTGAATACGGGCACCACCATTGGAGTTTAGACCATAGCATACATAATGCACATGGTTATTCATATACTTGTCCGGTTTCTGGGAGACCTATTGAGAAATAATTAGTCATGTTAATTAATTGAGTTACCCCGCATATTTAATTGTATCCTATCCTTTATACATGCATATTTAAGATGCCTAATATATATGTCTAACATGTCTGACATAGGTGCCATAATGAAAAATGAAGAGTAACCGAAAGTACCAAAGTGTTAAGTAATATATGGCCCAAACACTATGTTATGGATCCCGAGTTGCTATTTATCGACCAGGGGTGCAGAGGATAGATAAAAGACTTTGTTTGGTTTGGTTTAGTTGTTTTGGAATGACTAATGGCTAATAGTTGATATCCAACGGTGGTTAATAGTTATTGTTTATAATCTATACACTCTTAATCATTTGACTAAAGCTAACAGCTGATAGGTGTTGCTGAGCAGCTAAACTAAATGAAGCCAAAGTCTGTAAATTATTTTAGGCATCCATGTCTTTTATACTTGCTTAAGCAATGGAAAACAAAAAGGCTAGGCCTAATGTAGGACAAGCTTGTTTCATCACAGCATTTCTGCCTAAAGCTTAGAAAAAAGTATATGTTCAGTGCAAGTTTGACTAGTAAGAACTTTTCCTTTCATGCATTCTTGTCTCTATCATGAAAACTAAGTGCCCAAACTCATCACTAGTTGATTATTATACTATATGATTCTGTGGGTACATTCTGCATGCAGCTGATATAAATTTTTAACAGTTTGGTTTAGTGGGTTTATTAATTTTTTTGAGGGGGTCTTCTACTGGGTTTATTAGTTACCACTAACTAAGAACGAGTATGATCCAAGCATTTGAGTTTCTGCTTCATCCTTGAATTTTGAATGTTGACTTATGAAGAGGGAGAAACTTTATCTATCATGGATCTATCATCTATCCTTAACATTTAAATGCGTATTTTATGTTATGATTGTGAGACTAATAGGTGATTGAATTAAAGACATGAAATACCAAGGAATCAAGGAGAAGCATATCACCAGACAAGCTCAACATTGCAGAGTCATGTCCACATTAGCACTCTCTCTCTTTCTTTCTTTCCCTGTCTGACTTTATTGAATGTTCATACCAGCAGGACCCCATGCATATGATTCATTCATGCCTTGCCCCATAAAAATCAGCCTCAGACATCATGGAAGAGAAACAAATGAATGGCACATGGGTTTCCTGTCCTAGCGCCCACTGCTTGTCCTTTGTCTTTATTTCTTTATTTCTTTATTTCTTTATTTTGTGTATAGTTTTTCTTTTTCTTTTCCCCTGGTTTCCTTGCTGTTTAATCTCTCTTATCTTCAACATCCTTGTTTGTCTGTTTTGTTTCATCATCACAAGATTCCTCCTAGCTATGTAGTCTGCTTTCTTCTTCTTCTTTTTTTTCTTTTTTTTTTTTTGTGTTAAAAAAAATGTTTGTAGACAAGACAAGTTTCACTGAAAATTTCATTTCCAATCAAATCAAGATGTGTTGAAAAGGACATTTGATGATTTTTGTTGTTGAAGACTTGGAACCTATGCCACAGATATGTAGCCACTATGTTAGTGCTCTAACATGAAAGATAATCCCTTTTTCATGCCTTTGATTGAATTCAATGATTGCCCTTTTATTCTATTTTTCTTCTTTGTCTTTCTTCTTATTATTCTCTTTAGTTCATCTCATCTTTATATTAAATTCAAGTTAACCACCTTTAACCTTTTTTACTTTCACGTGAAGTGAGATTATTACCTTCACACAAAAGTCATTAAGAACTTTTTACACATGTTTTTTTTCTTTTTGCCTATGGTACAGGGTGAGTGAAATTTTGGTTAATCCCAAAATCACGATCAAGTAAAATACATCATTTTCAAAGTTCACCATAGACAAGATAGCAAGATGTAGGGTCTCACTATCTTTAAATAGCTTTACTTCATCATCTTTTGAACACTTGTTATCTGCAAGGTGGTGCAGGTAGCTTCATTTTGGTTCTTCAATCAACACCACATCACTATCAAAATGAGATTACAGAATCCCCCCTCCCTCCATCCCAATTCAATCATGTCCCCATGACAATTCAACCTAAAATCATATATGACCTCAAATTTTTACGTGACATCTTAAGAATGGAAAATTACCACAAACCATCCTATTCAAGTGGTAATTTTAGAAAATCTCTAAGTGGTAATTATTTTTATTTTTTTTTAATTATTTATACATTGATGTGAAAAATAATAGAATTTGAAATTAAAACCTAATAGAATCTCAACTTATTTTTATATGCTTTTAACTAATGGTCGTTCATATGTTTATATTTTTTTATTACTTTTAGTAAAGCAAAAATTAAAAACTTAAAAATAATATCATGGAGAACAATTGATTGTATAAAAAATTGATTCCTTTGTAGTTTGAAGTTGATATTTACATTAAAGGACAAATTAGATTGTGAAATTTGGTGATGAGCTCCAATCAACATGTCATTTATCGACACTCCCACCCCCCATCTATTCCCTAGAGTTCAACTCTCAAATTTAATAGTGTCAAGATCCCACAATTTTCCATTTTAACTTTGAGATGGCATGCATATAGAAATAGAAAATAGTTGAATGTTTGTGCCAATTTTTCAAATTAATAATTATTAATTCTAAGTTGTCAAATGGGGTCCATAACCATGCATGATTATATTAATTTTTTTCAGAAGAAATGAATGGAACTTTTGACATTTTCTATGCATTTCTCCGTTTTCATTGTTTGAAAATGGTTTCCCTGTTCATTTATCAAATAAATATCATATTTACTATTTAGAATTGTCATGTGGTGCTGTGAGTTCCGAGCTGTGGCTTTTCTTGTATTTTATTTTCCCCCAAAACTACGTTAGTATAGTGCCATGATTATGAAGTGTGAATCATAGCAGGAAATCATTGAATCAAATGGGAATCGTAAAAACTTTACCCTTCTTTCCCTGAATAGCAGGAAACAGAGTAAACAGGAGAAAGGTTATTATTGTGAAGGGACTTCAAAACAGAAATCAAAATTTCCAAAACAGGACCAGGCATGAGATTCAATAATTGTAACTAACTCCTTTGATCTTTTTTTGGGTCTGTATGATTATCACTCGGTGAATTAATTTCCCCTAAGTTACTGTTTAAGTGTATGTGTTAATTTCTTGCTTTTAACAAACCATTAAAGAGTAGTGGGATGGAGACTGTGAATCCCTGTTTTGGCTAGAAGTGGAAACCAGCAAAACGAATCCAAACACAGAAAACTTTGAGATGAATCTCTTTTCTCAATTGAACTTGGCATAAAAAATATAATGATAAATTTTTGTTCATAATAATAATAATAATAAAAAAACCATTATGATAAAATTTTAACATGGTATATCATTTTCTTTGATTCCTGTGCTTGGGTAAGGCTTGTTCTTTCCAAGCTTCTTCCTTCTTCTTCTTCTTCTTCTTTTTTAATTTTGTATTATTATTTCTGTCAAAGCCCATTGTTAACTCACAATGGTGTTATGGGAAAATTATAACTGATCAATTAACGGAAAACTTGTAGACAAATTCAAATATCATTTTGAATGTTAAATTTAAAATTAATTAGTTGTAGTTGAAATAACTCATATTTTATATGATATTCTTAAAGAATTAGTGCACTTGGGGGGGCTAAGGAGCGTGCAAGGCGCGGGGGAAGAGGGGGCGCGATTGGAATTGGTGGGGAAAAGGCGAAAGGCCGAATGGGTTAGAAAAACTGCTGAAACAGGGAAACAAAAAAAAAAAAAGTGGGCGTGGAAAGAAATTAAGGCAGTGGTTAAGGGGCCGAGACAGAGTATCTTTGTCCAATAAAAATCCTATCTTAGTTTGGGAATGCTTACAAAACAGGGCGAATCCCCAAGTTGTTTTCATGGGGAACACAAAATTGTGGCCTCTCTTTCACTGTTTTTCTGGGACTATCGGATGCCATTACTCTCTGATCATTGCCTTACCCTTTTAATTCCCCCAACCTTTACGGTGGGTGGGTGGGTGTGTTGGCTTCCAATCTTTGGGTTGCATTTATGTTCATTGTCTACACATGAAGTGATTTCCATATGAATCTGACTAGGTGAATAGTTGAGTTAAAGGTTTAAATTTTTATGTTATTAGAGAATTTATGTGGCATAATTTCAGTAGCAAATACTCCATAGAGGTAAGTTCTAAAAGGGTGGATCAAATAAATACTCAAAAAGTGGTGTTGTTTCTATTTTTATAAGATTTTGCTCTCGCTTTTGAAGCTGTATGCTTCAATTAAAGGTTAAAAAGGATACAACTTTTTACCTTCAATCAACTTTACTTTTCTTTTTCAAAGTTTCACATTTTTCACCCTTGAAATGAAAAAAAAAAAAGGTTAGATTGGGATAGGCATCAATCCATATAAAATAAACATGGGTAAAAACATAGCATATTTTTCCCTTAAATATCAAGAATCATATGGTGCCCACACCCCATGTGGAAGCACTGTTGAGTTTTCCTCTTACTCATGACTGCCAGGCATACTTTTATCAAGCTCTAAAATTCTCCTTTCTTTTTATTAATTATTTGATATTCAAAAATAACATTAAATTTTAATTAATTTAAAATTAAATCATAATAAATTTTATAAAATAAATTTTAATATTTATTTTTTATTTATATAAATTAAATTTAATATTTTATTTAAAAAATTAATTTTTTTAATTTAAACTAATAAATTAAGAGTTCAAAATCTCCTTTTGCTCCAACCAATTATCTGTCTTTCTCTCTGGTTCCCATCACTCCGTAATAAGCATTAAAAAGGTAAACAAAAGTGTGTGCATAATTGGAGATATGTGTGCTGTGAACTGTGAAGTATGATGAGGGCTGAGTTGGAGCTGGGGTCAGTTGGGGCTGGGGTCAGTTGGATGGGAGAACTTCAGTCATATCATTCAATTGATGTGGGGGCATTTCAAAAAGGACAACACATTGATTTTCATAAAGGCAGGGAATACAGAAACAGAACCACACCTTTTTATATTTTTTTACGGTGCTTTGCATTGCATGATGATATTTTCATGTCCTGAAGTGTTATCCTCTTATATATCATTTTGACTCTTTTTACTTACAAATAAAGCAAGAAGTTGGAACTGTTTTGTGGGTGAAATGGTTTTAATCACTTTTGTAAAGTTTATATATTTTTTTAAAGGAAATAATTTGAATCCGTCCCATGATAAAATGTTCAAAGAAAAAAATAAAGTAAGAAGTTATACTAGTATTTTATGGTTAAATGATTATAAATTGATTTATAAAGTATATTTTTTAAGTCAAAAATTAAAAATTGAATCTCTCATTTAAAATTATAAATATGTTAAAAAAATAAAATAAATCAAGAGGTTGGTAAGAATAATATTTTCAAAATCTCATTTATTGGAGGATTTAAATGTAAAAATGTAATACTTTTTTTGTCCTATTAACTCTTTGTTTTTCACTAAAATTGTCTTAAATTAATTTGTGTGCATGATAAAAAAGAGTAATATTATATAGACATTAATCTTTTGTTTAGTTAAAAAAAAATTAAATGGAAGGAAAAACAATATCTTTTTATTTTTTTATTTATTTTCATTTAGATATATTAAAATGCAAAATTAAAAAAGTAAAATAAAAAAGGCCTCTCTGCCCCTTTAATTTTTATTATCTAAATAAAAAATTTTATTCTTCTTTCCTTCTCTTCTCTTCCCCTCAAATTGAAGAAGTTGTAACACTTTGATTTGTGTTAATAACCCTACCCACAGTTTGTCCTTCCATACTTCATAAACAAATCCCATGTTTCCAACACCTCCTACTTTTGTTATATTTTCTAACATCAAAAGAACAAAACTTCCTTGGCTCCTCCCAACATATTTGCCATTATACCCTCCCTGTAATCATCACTCTCATAATAATTAATGACAAAATTTATTATTAAAAGGAGGTCGAATTATGAACAAGGAAGAATCCTTTGGAAAGGAAAGAGGAGAGGAGAGGGGAGCATATGCTTGTGGGATATCACCACAAATAACCCAAAATGATGTCTTTAGGTATATAGATTTCTTTGATATCCAAAAAGGCAAAATTGAAATATTCTAAGTAAAGTTCTTTTTCATGCTTTTCTTAATTTAGGGTTAATTTTTGGTATGGTGAATTTGCATTTAACAAATTGAACTAAGTTCCAATAATATAG